TAGTTCAGATGAGTTAACATTGATTCTTTGGTTTAATATATGAAATAACCAAGGTTAAATTTCTGTAAAGAACCTGTCATTGGAATAAGTCCCACTGAACGCATTGAGACTTCTGATTTAACATGGCGTAATCTATACATATTTACCTGAAACATAAAGAATCAGTTAAAAAAGACTTCCGATGGCTTTACTTGTATTATCTTCAGACCATATCATATTGCCAAGCTAGTAAAATAGTCTTTAATCCTTGGACATTTTGGTGAATTTGTGGGCTGAAATTGGAAAGAATTTTGTGTTTGGTTTTTGTTTTGTTTTTTTCCTCCTTTATGCTGGTACTTCTAAAAAAAAAAAAAAAATCTGAATTATATTTGCTTTTTGTGGTGTTTGTTAAAAAAAATTGCTAATAATATTTTAGCAAGTAATTCTCCCTCTTCGCAGAGCTGAAAATGATTATTATTATTATTTCTTTAAAAAGAGAAATTGTTCCATCAGTAAGAGATCGGCTTTTCTCACCCAACCCCATGCCACCATAGGCATGCTTTCAACTGTACCTTCTTAGTGTCAGTGGTCAAGAATCAAATGCTATGTCTGATAAATTAGGGTAAGGTCAAAGGCTATGCTGTGTGGTTTCAGAGGAATGTCTGTTTCTGAATTTGCGGCAGCTCATTCATGCTGAAGTGATGCACTATGGGAATTACTACCAAACTCTGCTCAGCAACATCTGCTCTCCCTAAGTGAGTTAGTGCACGTCAGACATCTTTATGTCAGAATATTGCAGTGATGGATGCAGTCTTCAGAAAATGCTGCATAAAAATCTGGTGTGCCGTTCTGGCCATTAAGTGAAATTACTATTTAAATTAATGGCGCTGTCACAGTTTATCTGTGCAAAGAATGAACGCTGATTAGGGTATTAAGTAATTAGCAATTTATCACGCTGGAACAAGGTTGATAATAATTAAAGAAGTAATGGTTTACCAAAGAAACTAGAAAGGGAGTCACTTCTTGTTATATGAGTGAAATCTTGGCTAAAAATATTATTCAGTGAAACAAAGATGAGATTCTTAGTGAGAGAATGCAGCTTTCTTTTTCTGTCCTAGCATAAAGGCAATTCATTAGCAAAATTTTACTTTGCCTGTCCAAAGTACTTCTAAGCTAAAATGTTCTCACTTGCTTTTTAAGAAGAAATCACTGTATGATGTAATCACATACTTTTGGGAAGGATAGGAAAGGAACAATGAACTCTGGCTAATCAATAAATGTCATATTTCTTAAACTGCTCAGAACAGCAGTTGATACAAAATGTATTAGTCGATGTGTTAACTGGTGCTAGGCACATGAACGTAGTACACCTGTGCTATGGGCACTGCATTGGCTGCTGATATGTTTCCTGGTGCAATATCAAGTGCTACTTTTAATCTATAAAGCCATACAGCTTGAAGCTAAGATATCTTCAGAACCACCTCCTTCAACCAGAACCCTAACCCAAACAACCTGGGAAAAATAATGCCATAAAATCAGGAGATCAAGATGAAGTGGAGGTTCTTCTCAGTTATGGCCCCCATGTTGTGGAATAGTCTTCCAGTAGCAATCCTATTGGTCTTCTTGAAGGAGATGACAGCTTTTATGAAGGGCTTTCTAAAAGTTTAGCACTTTTGGAATTCCTTCTGTATTCCTTCAGTTTAAAGTTAATGAAGAGTCCTCTTTCTATTTGTATTAATTACTATATTATTTGTACTATAGAGTCACACGATTGTGGCAGTCTAGAAATCAAAGAAATAAAGTAAAAGCCTAGCCATGCCATAGCACTACCATGGTAGTGTTAGTTTTGAAAAGAGATCTGTAGAAGTCTCTAAAACTAAGGAAATTATGCTGCTACATTGGCTATGATATCCACTAATAATTATGATATTATGCTATTATTCAAAATTGCTAGATGAAGCAGACACAGTTATCAAAGCTGAGCTGCAAAACCAGTGGATGGCAGCAAAGAGGTTGTCTGAATTCTTGCAACCTAGGTTTGGTTGCCCTAAAACTGGACAAGGCCATAAGCTAGGGATAAAAATTGGATGCTCTCCAGATGTTTTGAACTAAATCTCCTTTTTTTTTAATTAGTAATTTTTATTGAAGAGATTTTTCTACAGAATAAAAACAATACAAATTTAAAGAAAAAGCGCAAAGAAAAGTGATAAGTGAATAAGAGAAAAGAGAAAAGAAAAAGAAAAGAAAATGAGATATAAAGAAAAGACTTCTGATCTTCTTTACAGCAGTTATATTTTGCATTTATATTTTGTCCTTTCTCTCTATAGTTATATCGTGTCTCCCTTCTTTCCATATTCTACCCTTTCTAATCATCAAACCCATAAATCACAAGTTCATCTTTTTCTGTTTTCCACAAAAAGTCCATAAAGGGTTTCCAGACACTGACAGATGTAGTTGTTGTCTTTTCCCTAATCAAGCAAGTCAATTTTGCCATCTCTCCAAATTTTGTCATTTTCACCAATCATTCCTCTGTTGTGGGTATTTAGAGTCTTTCCATCTTTGTGCATATAATAATCTCACTGCAGTAACCATATACAAAACAATCTTCCATAGGGCTTTTCTAGTTGTCTATCCATTAGTCCCAACAAAAAAAAGTTCTGGTTTCAGTTGAATATTAATCTTTAAAATTCTTTGTATCACTGTGTGTATTTGAACCCATAAATCTCCTACAGTCCTTTGTCAATAGTGGAAATAAAATGAGTTGAAATCAAAGACATTCAGAGAGAACCAGGTTGCCTACTGCTGCTATTGGTAGAATGGAAAAATGAATGGGGATCAGTTAATTCACAGATCACCTCCTCAGCTTTAATAATATGGATTTCTTCTAAATAAATCAAATATGTCTGATAGTATATGAGATGAAACTGTCTTGCTTTAAAAGTTTGGTTCTGCTATGATATGATATCATTTACATGCATTTGAATTTAATTAGTCCCATGAATGAAATCACTTTGTTGAATGCATGGCTGGGTTAATCATTAAGTTTATTGTATCACATAGTATCTCCCCAGCTAAAGTGGATCTTCATAATGTAACTATTTTAAGGAAACTGTTGTTGAAAGAAATTCTGATTGAATGTTTGACTGTATGATAAGTAAGAGATATAATCAGAGATCTTGTTTAGAGTATCTTAAACATTCCTTTGCACTTTGTATTTTTGACCTGGCCCTACTCCCATTTATGAAGCATGATTCCTTCCTTTATAATTACTGGCATGCTTACTAGACTAAAATGTCAAAGGAGCATGGGTGGTTTATCATGCTGAAGAATTATTTTGGACCACAAGAAGCAACCTGCACAGCTGCCTTTTTCAACACTGCATCTGTAGGCAGAAGGCAATTGTATGAAGGAATCTGGCTTATGAGAGAATTAAGATGCCTTTTAGAGGTATAGATAGCAAAATTAAACTGCCTACTTTCCACAATAAGAGAGTAATCAAGAATAATTTTTAATGGTTTAAAAAAAAAAAACTAGACAGGTTTGACTCCCTGATTCAGTGTTAATACAGATGCCATCTTTTTTTTCAAACAGGGGTTTTAAGAATGTAGGAATCTGCCTTATACCAAGTAAAATTGTTGATGTGGCTAACTCAGTATTGTTTATTGTGATTGACAGCAGCTCTCTCAGCCTGAGGAAGAGTAGCTGTTGTTACCTGATGCTTACTCTGTTAATGGAGATACTAAAGACTGAACTTGAGAACGTCTATATGGATTGAAAAATGGAACTTTGCTCTGCCCAATTCGATGACTTGATCTTAGTTTTTCTCCTTCCTGACTCCCTCCCTACCTTTCTGCTTGGGAACTATAGCCCTCCTAGAACATTATGTAGATACTGAATCACAATAATATCAATATAGGCATAATGACAGATCCAACCTGTAACCCCATGCATTAATCAGACTTAGTTTCCAGTGTCCACATACACCCTTAAATCTAAGCATGTTCCTCTATGCACACTTTGGGACTGAAAAATATACTGTTCCTTATGAGAGATACAGAACATTTGTGTAATTTGCATGTTCTGATTACTGCATCACGGTGTCTAATGCCATTGAAAATATAGATTGTGAATGTAGCCTATTTATTGTGTTTATTTGATTTGTTCTTGCCATGCAGGAGTTGGCTTCCACAAGAAGGAATTTAAGAATGCAGCACAAATACCAACATAAATTGTGTTTTATATCTTCATTTACATATTTTTAGATTTCACAGTTGATCTCTGATGTACTATCACAGAAAGATAACTATAACAAACCAATATTTTTTAAAAGATGCATAAATCGTACTTTTGTAAAATATTGTAGCTTGTATGCAATAGCGTCCATTCAACAGTGAAAAGACTTTTAAACTAGTGGAACCCTGATTCCAGGGCATCTTCCAGATATCTTTCACAATGTTGAAGGACCATTTGGAGATGAGGAAGAGGAGATGGCTAATTTTTTTGTGGCAATAGTAAAATTCTGACACTTTTTCCTGGGCAGAAATGAATCAGAGGAGAAACCAAATCAGACTAGAACTCTGAAGTACTGATGTGTAGACATTAAGGAAATCTGCCTATTCCTAGTACCAAATCTATTTTGCATTTTATATGACTTTAGGAATCCTGTTTTTCACAGATGCATGTGTCGACAAAACTAGATTGTAATTGAACTAACCTTTTTAATAAACAAACAAACAAAATGAATGTGGAATGTGGCACATAAAGTCATGACCTGCAAATAGTTACTTTCTGTAACCTATGTGAAAGCAGGAGAATGTATTGTATCCGATCACCAGAATTAGCCACTCAACAAAGGCCTCTCAGACATTTTAAATTCAACATTAAGTACTACTTTAGATACCTTTCCTCAATATCAATAGCTGCCTCGTGCTGATGCTTTTATGCTGGATTTTACAGCATTCTTGTTATTTCCTTCACTTTCTCCTGTTTTTGCCTTCATGTATAATATTTTATTGTTACAGGAATGTTCTGTTGTGGACATGAATACGTGAATATGTCAAGTACCATATGTTGCTCAGCTTTCAGTGGTGAGGCTAAAGCCCACCTTAAAAAGAATAACCCAGTGCCATTAAGATGCTGCGCGACTGAACTTATTCCAGAGAGCGAGGAATGTTGTAATGGACTTGGATATAATCCCTTGAAATATGTTTGCTCTGACAGGATTTCATCTGGAATGATGATGAAGGTAATTGATAGAAAACCTCTTGGTGGTTCTGATTTGACAATGGGAAGAGAAATACATTGTTCATAACTATTTTTGTAAAATAGGAATATAAAAACTCCTCTGTGCATTATTCATTTTCACATTACATCCATATTAATACCAAATGAGTTTGCCATGATTGATGTTATTGCAGTGAATTCTAAAGGAATTAATAATGATTAGCTGCTTCTTGTAAAGTGTTGCTCAGCACTTCAGATTAGTATAAGAGCTAAAAGTTAACATTCTGGCCTGGCTGGAAAATGTGTATGTGTATATATAGTCATGTTCAGTTCCATGGTTGGTTCATACAGTCAATGATTTGGGCATTCTTAAACTTTGTGGTTTTGCGTGGGCCGTTAACATGGTATCCATATGGGGGCGAGGGGATGCCAAAATTTGTCATTTTAACAGTATGGCCATACGAACACAAGTAAGAAGGAAATTTTAAGCAGTGAAGCCCAGACTATCAAATGCTAAAACAAAAATAAACCAGCTGTAAAATGAATATTTAAAATCAATTAGTAAAATGTATTGAAGTTAGAAAGTTTCAGTGGGGTTTCACAAATTTAAGATCCAATAAGATCCAATAAACATACAGGTGGTACAAAGTTTCATACAGTAAGATAGGTGCCAGGGAGGAGATTCCAAAATTGGGAAGCGACTCATAAAAATGACTGCCTATAAGTAGACACCTGCTGAATTGCAGTATTTGTGAGCCTTTGCTGATAGTCTCAGAAAATGGTAAATAATAATCAAAGCATAAAAAAACATAAAAGCAGTAGGACTGAAACAAAATACACTAAGGTGGGGTGCTGGGATTGCATGAAAGGAATAAGGAGCCTTGAAATGTGTATCAGAAGAGTGTCTATGCATGTCTGTTTAGGTTGTTTTTAAAGGTCTTCAGAGGTTTGGGAATGACTGTTTTAGGTAAACGAAGAATGTAAATACAGCTCACTGTGCCCTATATCTGTGGGAGCAGTGACATACTGTGCACAATGTGACTTTGACGAGCATACTTGTCTATGTGCTTGGATAAAGATTTCCCGGAGTTATACAAAAAATGAAGAAAATCAAAGTATATGCCCATCTTTGGAGGAGAAGGTTTATACAGGAGGCCCAACTCAATATTCATTCAAAGGTAAAATAATATGCGATTATTCATCGGCTACAGATTGTAAATTCTGTAATCAATTCAGTAAAGTGTAATGTGGCCTCTCTATATTTAGAAATCTTTTTGAAATGAGTAAAATCTTTTTACCAGTACACTGATAGATATCAATATATTGCTAATTATGATTGGTATAAATATATGTTGTAAATGTAGGAGAGGCAAAGGAGCCCTATTGAATCAAACCAAGGATCCATCAAACCAGCCTTTGTTTTGCAAAGGGACTACCAAAAAGCCATCTCTCCTACCTCCATAACTAGTCCAGACTTCTGAAACTGGAGGTCACCTACACCCATCATAATTATTACCACTGATTACTAGGATTATACAAACTGTTTGAAAGAGATGCCTTGCAATGCACAGGAGTTCATATACGATCCATTTCTTTGAATCATTAAAGCAGCTGCATCTTTTTCTAAGCTCACATGTCTTGGCTTGTATTCTTTCTCCCCAAACTTTTCTTACCCTCTTTGAAACCTATCAAAGCTAGTGGACACTGATGTATTTTATGACAGCAAATTCATCCCATAACTACATGCTTTGTGATGAATTGCTCTGAATCTTCCACCCTCTGGTGAGATTAGATATTTTAGATGCTGAAGTTAATGGTATTTAAATTGTCATGATTATTGCTTCAATTACTTCAAAATGTGGCAAAACAACTCTGTTGCATTGGCACCTTTTTCTCATTTGCCTATTTCATGCTGTGGACTTTCACCCTAAAGTCATCCACTGAAAGCATCAGTTTCACTGAATAATTTCACTTTCTACTATTTTTACAAGAAAAGGAGAAAAAGATATCCATTTTCTTTATATCATGTATGTGTAATTATGTTTCAATTTATGCACCATTCTTCTAAAGTGCAAAGTTTACAGAATGAAGACATGGGTTCACAAATCTGAAAGTGAACCAGATTGATTTAGATATATCTAAATAGAACCTAATATGTAAGTCTAGCATACTTAATATACAGGTTGACGATCATCTCTTTGAATGTATTAAATATTCTCTTTGTAGATAAGAATCTAGAGCCTCATGTTACGTATGAATACAGGTTAGCTGCATGGAACAAACATGGGAAAGGTTTAAGTGAATTTAACAGTGCAACCACTAAACAAGACATCCCTGAAGGTATAAGTCCACCTCATTGGGCAAAAGTGGATAATCGAGAAGATGTAATATTTCTAACCTGGAAGGAACCTCGTCAACCAAATGGTATTTTGGCAAAAGAAAAATGTCTGATTTGGCATTTATCCAGCACAAGGAATTTTGAGAACAAAAACATTTACAAAAAAATAATAATATTGTGCTTAAGTTCACACCCTAATCCTGTATCTATCAGCAAAGAAGTGTATGCCTGTGTAGATAAATAAATATATATCATACACAAACATGAATATGTGCATATAAACACATGCTCATACACCAGTGTTGTCCAAACTTGGCCACTTTAAGATGAGTGGACTTCAACTCCCAGA